GAAGAATGTATGCAATGTGTTAATTATTGAAACTGTCCTACCAATTTGGTTTGAAACTGTCTCATTGCTATTTGTTTCTCAATAAAATTATGGAATAAATAAATAAATAAATAAATAAATAAATAAAACAAGTCAATTTGGGCCATGGATTACACTGTATCAATCTATTACTTGTTTCTATTAATTGGATGAAAATGGGTACAAAGAGAGAATCAACTATTGGGAGATTTGAAATTTGTCGAGCAATGTTAGGATGGCTGTTGGAGTATAAGGACTTCATGAGGGGGTTCTATGGGGACAGCACTCAGCACTGAATGTGAACCAGTTCATCTTGTCAACATGACTGGCTTCAGAGACTTCCAGAGAGGTAACTGGATTGTGGGGGTGCTATTCTCCCCAGTGGATTCATCCATGGATGTTCAAAGCTTAACATGATGTTAGTAAGTGGAGCAGAGTTGGGGGAAGTGAGCTGTCTTTGAAGACTATCTCTCCCTGGCTCTATCCTCCATATGCTGCTTCCCCGCACCATGAAGTCAGTAGTTCTGCCACGTCACATCTTTTCGCCATGATGTTTCTGCCCTGGAACCAGTTGACCATGGACTAAGTCTTCTGAAACTGTAGAAGATGGCATCTCTCAATGGGTTAATTTTTCTTTGCAGAACTGGGGATTGAACTCAGGCCCTTACGCTTGCCAAGGAAGCGCTTATTCCACTGACAAATCTCCCCTGCCCCCACAGTGGGTTAATTTTATCCTAGCAAAAAAAGCTCTAGTTTAGCCTTTAATCCACCTTAGAAATAGGAAATACTAAAGCAGAGTTGATTTTACATGACCCTGCCTGGAATGCTTCACTCCTTCATTCCTTCCCCCACCCTTATTAAGATGTTGTAAACATAAAAGAGATAAGAGGAAAACAGAAATAATTACAAAGAAGAATCCTGTGACTTCTTGATTCAACAACCATGGCATTCCATGTGGTTGCTATGGAAACCAAGAAGGTATTTAAGCAGAGATGAAACAAAGAACGAGGCCAGATGTGTTTTGGATCTGTAAGAATTGGGGAAGTGCATTCGGATGCTGGATCTATTAATAAACTTCTTTTCCAATTTTTGGTCTGATGTGGAAATAATCTTGATGTTTCAAAACCATGAGCCAAATAAACCATTTCTTCCTCTAAGTTCTGTACATCAGACATTTTGTCCTGCAACAGGAAGGCTGGCCAATAGTCACAAAGCCGCAGCATTTTGTGAATGTTCACCTGTGAAACTGTTATAAAGATGTGTACTTCTACCAAAAGGTGTAAAACTAATTACATATATAACTGGACATTTTCCATCAGTTTCTTTGTGTGTGTGTGTGTGGTACTGGGAATTGAACTCAGGACCTTGCACTTGCCAGGCAGGCACTTACACTGCTGAGCTATCTCCCCAGCCCTGGTTTCTTAATATTTCCTTCGCTAAAATAATGTGAAAAGACATTGGTCCTCATGCTGCTTGGTAGCAGACAAGGTATAGCTTATCAATCATAACTTCAGTTATTTTATTTTTTTTTTTTTTTTTGAAAAAGAAAATCAAAGTCTGCATTTATTGTTGTGCCAACAGACCAGCCACAGCGGGAGGATGGTGGTAATGCTGATGCAATACTCATTATTAAAGCAAATTAAAGTACAAAGGTCTCCGAAATGGCTTTACAGTGACATGATGCCTTAATAAATTAAGAAACCGGCTGTTCGCAGACTGAGCCTCACTTCATGTTCTTGACAAAGTCTTCCCCTTTCTTGATGGAGGCTTTCAGCTCAGGAATGGCTTCGGCGATCATCTTCTCCTCGAAGGGGGAGATCTTGCCGAGGCCCAGGTTCTTCTCCAGACCTTTTTTCCCCAGCAGCAACGGTGTGGAGAAGTAGGTACACTCCGTCTCCTTTGACTGAACGAAGGAGCACTCAACAACGCCCTCCTTCCCGTTCATCGCATCCACGGGGGAGAAGACAAAGCGGGCGCCGGCGTACGCCATAGACAGGGTGGCAGAGCCTGCTCCAGCCTTGGCCTTTACAACCTCCGTGCCGGCCTCCTGGATCCGCCCCGTGAGTGTTGCCAGCTGGTCTTGGGAAAGTCCACTTTGGGGGTACACTGAGAGATCAGGGGGATGATGGTCTTCCCAGCGTGGCCACCAATGACAGGAACGTTGACCCGAGCTGGATCCAGGCCCTTCAGCTCTGCCACAAAAGTGATGGCTCTGACAATGTCCAGGGTCGTCACACCAAAGATCTTGTTGGGGTTGTACACTCCGTGCTTCTTGAAAACTTCTGCTGTGATCGGGATAGTGGAGTTAACCGGGTTGGCGATGATGCAGATCATGGCTTCAGGACAGTGCTGGGCACAGGCAGCAGTCAGGGTGGCCACAATTGTGGCATTGGTATTGAACAGGTCATCCCGTGTCATGCCTGGTTTTCGGGGGACTCCAGCTGGAATGACCACCACATCACAGCCTTTGAGGCAGTCTGGCAGCTGCTCGGGTCCGAGGTAGCCTTTCACAGTGGCCCTGGTCTCAATGTGGCTCAGATCCGCAGCCACCCCAGGGGTGTGCGCGACATCGTAGAGGGTCAGGCGGCTCACCAAGGGGCTGTTCTTCAGTAGCAGTGACAGGGGCTGCCCGATTCCTCCAGAAGCCCTGAGCACAGCTACTTTAGCATTGTTCTGGGCCGAGCTGCTGAAGCTGCGGTGGAGAGCGGCGCAGGCGGGCCGGGCGAAGGCGGACAGCATGATTGGAGCGGGAAGGGCTTGGGGCCGCAGGTGCAGGAGCTGGCCGACTGTGACTCCAACGACCTCCACACTGCGCAGGGCTGCCCGGCTCCGGTCCGCCTGGTCTCGCGAGAGTAGCCCCCGCTCAACTTCAGTTATTTTAAATAGTAACTTCATCATATATGTACTCCTTTAATTTGAATCTATTATGTTTTAGGATAGTGCTTTTCAACTGTCTCTATCTCCTACTCATATTCCTTTAATATAAAAATGTTTAATGGCCTACTCTAGTCCTGAATTTGTTGCCTGATATTTTTCCCAAATGCTTAGTATACTTGTGACATGTTATGTCTCTGAATAACTATAGGTCTTATATCAAGATTTATCCTGTGTGTTCACTCATCTTACAAATTGGATGTAATTTTTGTATAAGCTCTGAAAATAGAGTTCATGATTATGCTCACAAATAATATTTCTAAAATTTTTTGTATTGACTTTGTGGTTTTGTTTTACATGCCACTGAAAAATTGACCTAATTTCTGTATCTGGTGTTTTGTTCTTGTTTTAACTGTCACCATATCTTGCACTTTTGAAAATTATCAGTAGACCAGGTGCAGTGGCACATGACTATAATCCCAGCACTTGGAGACTGAAGCAAGAGGATCACTGCCAGTCCAAGGTCAGCCTGGGCTACATAGTGAGACCCTGTCTAAAAAAAA